CCGCCTACCTCTGCTCCTCCTCCAGCTCCTCCTTGGTCATCATCCTCTTGTACTGGCTGCCCCGCAGCTTCCCGGGGCTGTACTTGAAGAAGGCCTCTCCTCCTGCAGGGGACAGAGGGTGAGCGCCAAAGCCCCCCCCCCCCCCCCCGCTCCCTTCAAAAAGGGGCAGAGGCCCCTGCACACAGTGCAGCCTGGCCCCAAGAGGACCCGGCCCCCCCTCGCCTGCACTCAGGCCTCCCACACCCTCCACGACAGCCCACAGCCACGTAGGAGCTCTTCTAGGAGCGGGAAACGGGCACCTGGACAAAAAGCAGCCAGCCAGGGAGAAGGCGGGCTCCTCCCGGGACCAGGCTGAGCTGCCGTCTGTGAGCCTCTCCCCTCCTCTGAGGCCCCGCCCCATAACAGTCAGCGGAGGGAGCTCATCTCTGGGAAGCAGGCTGAGCTGAGGCGCTGGGCTCCCTGCCCTCCTTGGCCCCAGGCCCGGCACAGGGACCTCCCGCCAAGGCCCTCCATCTAGTCTCCCGGACTTGGGGTCCATGCCCTGCATCCACGGTGTCATGTCGGCCAGGCTCATTGTCTCTGTGCCACAGCTGCTTTCAGAAGAACAAAAGGGCTCTAGCTGGTTTGGCCCAGTGGATCCTGAGGACTGAAGGGTTGTGGGTTCAATTCCCGGTCAGGGCACATGCCCAGGTTGCAGGAAGCAGCCAATCAATGCTTCTCTCTCATCATTGATATTTCTCTCTCGCTCTTGCTCTTGCTCTCCCTCTCCCTCTCCCTCCCCCTTCCCTTGATATGACTAATTATCACTAAACTATCGGTTTCAACTTGCAAAAAAGCCTATTCCCTTATTCAGGCAGGAACAAAGTTAATTCCAAGGGCCCACAGTGTTACCAGGCTACTGTGAAGGTATCCACACAGGATCAATATCTAGCAACAACAGAGCATATTTGCAAGCTTTCCCTTAGTAGTTGCATAAATTGCTCCTTCCCTACCCTGGAAACAGGTGCTCCATTGTTCAAATGCACAGTGAAACCTGAGCTGGGCTGTACAACCTGACCCATGGCCTTGGCTCCAGCAGCCGGCACTGGCTTGAGTTTAGAGTGCAGTTAGTGATGTTGACTTTGCCCCACGGCTCCCAAGTACCTGTGTTCTGGAACGTTCAAGTATGCAACAGACATCTGCTAGAAAGTACCTTCAGGGTTCCTGAGGAAACCAGAAACCAAATCCAGGCTTACAGGTAATGACATACAATTACTTAAAATTGGGTCTCAAGAATTAGTAGCCCAGCTGGCTTTTAAAATATTTGTTATTGTCTAGGAATTTCTCATCATATAAAGTACTAGAGGCCCGGTGCACGAATTTGTGCACCAGTAGGGTCCCTTGGCCTCGCCTGCAGGATCAGGCCAAAACCAGCTCTCCAACAACCCCTGAGGGGTCCCGGATTGCGAAAGGGTGCAGGCCAGGCTGAGGGACCCCACCGGTGCATGATCAGGGCTGGGGAGGGACGTGGGAGATTGGCCAGCCAGGGAGAGATTGTGAGAGGGCTCCAGGGCGTGTCTGGTCCATCTCACTCAGTCCTGATCAACAGGACCCCAGCAGCAAGCTAACCTACCAGTCAGAGTGTTTGCCCCCTGGTGGTCAGTGCACATCATAGTGAGCAGTTGAGCAACCTTAGCATATCATTAGCATATTATGCTTTGATTGGTTGAATGGACGACCAAACACTTAGCATATTAGGCTTTTAATATATAGGACTAGTAGCCCTGTGCATGAATCCATGCACCAGTAGCTGGCCAGTAGCTCGATGCTGCCCTCCAGTAGCTCTCCGCCTGCTGCCCCACCCTCCTGTAGCTCCCCCGCTCCCCCTCATAGCTTGCTGCCCTGCCCCCTCCTGTAGCTCTCCGCTGCCTGCTAGTAGCCAGTAGCTCACTGCCCCACCCTCCCGCTGATTGCTGATCCGGTCATGACTCGGTTGGTTGTTACACCAACACGTAAGGACCATTTGCTCACTACGTCTTCATTACATAGGAGATACGTATGAAAGAACAAAGGGGCAGCTCTCCAGGCCTGAGGGGGGGACTCCGTGACATGGAGCAACGGCAGGTGGTGACACTCATGAGGCACAGGCCGCGGGCTGCAGAGCAGAGGAGGCGGCGAGTGTCCAGGAGGAGGGAGCCCTGTTGGGGAGCACCGCCCTCATGGGTGGGGGGCGCTTCAGCCCTCAGGCCTGTGCATGGCCTCTGGGCCGCGGGGGACAAGGCTGAAAGGCTGGTCTTATCTAATTCCCGGGAGCGAGTACAGACTTGAGTGCGGGACGGCCAGCAAACCCCTCCCACACCCACACCCGTATTCCTTTCGGTTCTGCTCTGGCCGGCTCACCTCTCCCCCCCGAGGTCGGGAATCTCAGACACCTCCACACCCTGCAGGCCACCCTGACCCCCGCCCGCCTCGGTCCGTGCCTCGTGGTCACACAGGCGCATGTGGGCCTGCATGAGGGAGGAGAGGCTCAGCTCTCAGGTTCTCTCTGGGCCAAACCAGGAAGGTCTGGGTGCGAACTCAGAACCCAGTCCCCATGCTGTGGGGTCGGCCGCCTCTCACCAGCACCGCTTAGGAGGTGGGGCTCTAGGAGCTCCGCCCCCCCCCCCACACACACACACACACTGCCGGGGGCTGAGGCCTCTCCTTAGGGAGCAGTTACTATTCTGCGTTCCTTCACCAGACAGAGAGACTGTCCTGGGTGCTGGGGCCAGGGCAGTGAGTAAAGCACAGCAAACAACGATAAGTAACTCAATGTCGAGTTTACAACTGGTCCTGAACGCTCAGCAGAAAAAGACAGCAGCGGAGCGGGAGCGGGAGGGGGAGCGGGAGGGGGAGCGGGAGCGGGAGGGGGAGCGGGAGCGGGAGCGGGAGGGGGAGCGGGAGGGGGCAGGCTGCCTGGCATCTACCGGGAGGGGTAGGGAGGGCTTTAGAGAGTCCGCACAGCAAGGAGCCCTGAGATGGGGCCGGGGGCCTGGCTCTTCCTCCCGATGAGAGACAGGGCGACTCCCTCCCTTCTCGGTGGGGTCCCCACCCCCATAGCCGGCCCTTCCCTCCGGGCTGAGCTCCTGAAGGCCCAGAAAGCTCACGGCGCAGGGTCTGGACGCAGGGCTCTGGGGCCCTGGGAACTCCGCTGCGTAATTCGGGGCCCCTGTGTGAGGGGCCTGAGTCTGTGGGCACCAAGAAAGCGCGACCAGCCTGCCCCGGGCAGCACCCCACTGAGCTGCAGACTCCAAGCGAGCTGGCCGCCCATGCTGCCTGTGGGCCTCAAAAAGAGGCAACAAAGAAGCCCGTTAACCTCCAGGCGAGGCCACTGCGCTGCTGTTTAGAGAAATAAAACAAAAGTGCTGCCAGCTGGGCGCTGCTCAAGGCTTCAGTTCATGGGGCAGGTCTGATTAGGGTTGTTTTCCAGGCCAGAGACTTGCAGAGGTTTTCACGTGATCACATGCATGTACCAAACTTCCCATGTTGCTGGATCAGGAGGGCTCCGTGCGACCGCCCCCCGGGAGGGGGACAGCCTTTTGCAGTCTCATGTGAACCCCGGGGTGCTTAGGGACACAGGTCAATCAGCCTGTGGACTGAGCTGCTCACGCTGGCCTGGGAGCCCATAACCTCTCCCAGGAGGCGGCCTGGGATGGGGGTGTCCAGGGCAGCGGTCAGACAAGGAGGGAGGGCACTTGTCCTGGCTGAGGGGCCCCCAGCAGCCTCAGCTTTGCTTCTGTGTCCCCAAGTCAACCACTCACGTGGCAGGATCAGACCCTGGGGCCACGGTCCCTGCGGACAATCTGGGAGAACTGACAGCTGCTCAGAGGGAGAGTCCCTCAAGGGGCTGATGTC